TCAGGGCTCTTGCTTGAGAAATTTGTCATTGGCTGCAGAAGTGACCATACTGATTGCTAATTGAAGCTTACCATGCCAAATCCCATTCTTAGGGCTTTCCCCACATTTCCCCACTTTATCCTTATGATAATCCCATGAGATTGCATGGGATTGTCCCTCCTTTCTGTACAAATAAAGGAATAGAGCCTGGTGAGCTTAAGGAACTTGCCCAAGACCACATAAGTGTTAAGTAGTAGTAAAGGTCCAACCCTCTGCAATTTTGGCTTCAAAACTTGTGCTTACCTATTAAGCTAGTGGTTCTCAAAGTGTGGGCCCTGGACCAGCATCGTCAATGTCGCCCAGAGAATTAGAAGACATGAAAATCCTCAGGTTCCTCTCCAGATGTACTGGATTGGATACTCTGGGGTGGTTCCAGCATACTTCAGTCGAACACATCCTTCTGGTGACACTGATGTACGCTTCATTTTGAAAGCCCTGTCCTGGGATCACTTCCCATTGGCAGCCCTGCAGTGTGACGGCAGGGAGCAAGAAAGTCTTCCAGAGTAACTTGGCTCTGGTAGCACACTGCCCATGGCTACTTAATGACAGTGGGAATAAAGATGGCAGGAGAGACTCTACAATGTCCCAGGTGGATCTGTAGGTTCACCCATGGGAGGAAGGAGGAAGAAAATTTGTCATCTGGGCTTTTCACAGTGGTCGATGAAGGACAGGACAATAGTCTGGGATTGAAAGAGGTTGACATAGAAGTACAGGGACCACTGCAGCAGAAGGACCGAGGGAAGGGAGCTTTCAGAAGCAGGTAGTCTAAAATGGCCCCAGAGCTCCAAGATGAGCAAACAGGTAGAAGAAGGGTGACAGCGCGGTCTTTCGGGAGAAGTCAGTGGCTATTGCTGGAGCTTGTGCTTCTTAGCATGCTTAGTGAGAATCCAGCACCTGAATGATGAGGCCTGAGGCCGTGCAACCTCTTTCTGGTCGTGTTTCATAGATGAGGTTGTGGCAGGGGTCCTATGGCTCTGGACGTACTTTATAGGGCTTGTCAGGCTATCAGCAGAGATGAATGCCCTCATGGTAGCACCTGCCTGGCAGGCAGTTTGTGCCCTGCATTCCACTATCACAGTGCATGGTAGAAGGTATTTTGCAGAAAGTATTTCTGAGCCTCCCCCATCTAGGTGACACAGGGAAATGGAAATAGCAAGGGTGCTAGAAATCAGCTGACAATTGCAATTGCAAATCGAGGTAAAACAGTTAAGACTGGAATCGGAGTACATGCAGACAGCACTTTGCACAACTCAGAGCATCCTGAGGCGCCTGTGCTCAGTAAGAACCAGGGTCAGAAGGAAAAAAAAAACTGTCACTAACAGAAAGAAAAGGAGGACAGGTAACTCATGTTGAGTGCCCACTGTGGCTCAGCCTTTTACTTATTTGTGTATGTAAAATCACTAACATAGTTAAATCCCTTAGCTGCTGTTAGAGGTAATATCTGCCTTTTGGGAAATATCATATCAGAATTTAAATATAACTCTCAGGGGTTCGACTCATTGAGTTACAATGTATCCCCTGCATTGCACAAACAGTTAAAGTGAGAGAGCTCAGATTTACACAAAAGATAGACCAGGGAGCAATTATTTTCTAGATGAAAGAATTCTTCAGCTTGCAAGAGGTGTCACTACATTTTTAAATTACAGGCTCTTAAATTTAGTGCATTTAAAATCAAGCCTAAGTCTAATCTTTTTTCTGTGCCTTACTTACACAGCACATGAAGTGAGATACATCTGTATCTTCTCTGTTTCATAATAGTTTATGCTCCTCTGCTTTTGTCTTAAAAGTGGCTTTTACAGGGACAGATGTACCATGAATCAGCAGTTCTTATAGGCATTGCTGTCTTCTGCATCTCTCTGGCATCTTTAAGTCCTTGTTTCATTGAGTGGGTCCATGTCAATTATAGATGTAAAGGTCTCACTGGCCCACAGATCCCTTAGATCCCTTAGAAAAAAAAAGTTTATTTTATGTACTCCTTCAAGCCTTTGAGATAATCAATTCTGGGAGAGAAACATGTTTATTTTGATCGATAGTTTTGGAGGGTCCAGTCCACAGTTCACTGGCCCTACTATTTTGGCCTGTGGGGGAAACAGTGCATCATGGCAAGTGTAAGGAATCACCATTTATGGGCTCTCATGGCCAGGAGAGAGGGAGAGGGAGAGGGAGGGGGAGGGGAAGGGAGAGGGGGAGGGACAGGGAGATCCAGACCTTAATGACTTAAGGTGTCCCCACTAAGCACCACCTTCTAAAGGTTCTATTCCTCCAAATAATGCTGCCCTGAGAATTAAACTTTTAAATGGGTTTTGGGGGGATGCTATACATCCAAACTACGGTACTTGGGTACAGCTGATATCCATAAGTCAATCCATGAAACAGTGAATTATTTTTGGAAGCCAATAACTCAATATGGTGTTGTTTGCATTGGTCTACCCTGCCAAAAGTCATAGAGATTTGGCTAGAACTAAGTTTGCCAGTTGATGTGTCTTTTATCAAGAGTGAAAAATTATGTGTTCATTCTGTTTATGGTCTTAATCTGGGCTTTTTTCAAATCTTTACCTTTATTTCCAGTTGAAAATTTCACTTCCACATGGACCTGGATGGTATATTAACTACAATTCTTCTTTTCAGCAATTTCTCCCCATTTTTTATTTGAATGTCAGAAGGGCTTGTTATTATCTTCCAGTGGACAGCTTAATTGCATGGTCAACAGGAAGTCCTGCAATTAATTTTTGGCTCTAATTAACTTATTATTTCAGTCTCATTTCTTTTTTTTGAAATGAGATGTTCTGGGAAGCTTCTTGAATAAAAATGAACTTTCTGAGAACAGACTTCAAGAGGTGTTGAACTCTTGATAAAGCAGAATTTATCAAGGGACTGATATACGCATGACTCAATTCCAAGCTAGAAAAGATGATGGCAGGCAACAGTGAAGTCTTACTAGGGTTGTGGGGATGGCAGAGATGATTGGGGTGGATTGGATGTCAGGTTGCTTGGAAGGGAGCGAACATTCCCACAGTTGTGCATTCTGGCAGGAGGTGAGGTCACCAGTAGACAATGAGAACATTGGAGGTTGACCTTAGATGGAATGATGCAATAAGGAAAGACTCCTCAGCCAGTGGCCAGGAAATACTGAGGTGCTGAGCAGAGAATGTGACATGAGATGGGACGGCTGCCTCCCTGGCTTCCCCCAGCCAGAATCCTTACTTCCCGCTGGTTTGTTTGGGAGAACCATTCTGAGTTTATATAGCAGCCCTGCAGCTCATTCAAACTATTTTGTCCCCTACCTCAGTGTCCCTCAGATAGAGGAGGACACCTAGGATTTCTAAAGCAACCAGCACTGCTTGTCTTTTCTAAGTCTTTATTTACCCAATAGTGAATCAAGTTTGCTTCTTTTTAATAGCTGAGGTAACCAAGAACCAGAAAGAAGGCTTCTGTCCCCAGCTTGTCAAAGGCAGCTGAGGACAAAAAGGAAGCAATCATTCCCGTTTCCTTGCCTTTTTATTTAATTTTTAATTTTTAATTTTTAAAAAATTTTTTTGAGACAGGCTCTCACTATATAGTTCGTACTGACCTGAAACTCACTATGTAGCCCAGACTGGTCTCGAACTCACAGTGATCCTCCTGCCTCAGCCTCCTGAGTGCCAGGATTATAGGCTTGTGCCACCATGCCCAACCCTTGCATTTTTGGGAAGTGCTTCTTTTCCCTGCTGGCAGCCACTCTCACTACTCCCCTGTTAAATCCCCAAGTCTAATTTTTTAGCACTAAGAAAGCATAGTTAAAGCAAAGCTGTCATCCTTTCCTTACAGTCTTGGTCACTTTGCTCTTTGTTAGAACACCATATCCTGACACCCACAATTCAGAGGAGGAGAGGTTTACTTTGGGTCATGTTTAAGTTCATAGTCACCTGGCTCCAAGGCAGGAAGGCAGAGTGGAAGGGAATGGTGCAGGAGAGCTGCTCACAGCATGGAGTCCTGGAAGCCTAGAGACCAACCGAGAAGCCAGGGAGGAATAAGCTCTTCCAGGCCAGGCCCCAGTGACCTGACTCTTCCAACCAGACCCCACTTCGTAATAGTAAGTCAGCTATGAGCCCCCAGAATCTGCTCAGCTTCCCCCAAAGCCATGCCTATGAGCACATGAGCCTCTTGGGGATAACTAGATAAAAATCACAACATTTAGCAACCTTGATCTGAACTATGGTGACCTTTAGTCAGATGTTCACCATGGAGAGCCCCGGAGGGTACCTGTGCTCAGAAATTCTGACCACAAGCTCTGAGTCATGGCTTCTCTTTATAGCAGTGGCTCTTAAACTTTATCCTGCAACAGAGTCACCTAGAAGGGGTTGGCAAGCTATAGCTGGAGGCCAAATCCTACTCCATGCCAGTTTTTGAGCAGTGGCAAGCTAAGAATGATTTTTATCTTTGTACTTTTAAAGGGGAAAAAAAATCAAAAGAAAAATAACATTTCACTGCATGTAAAAATTATATGCATTTTAAACTTCAGTGCCTATAGTTAAAGTCATATTAAAGGACAGTTGTGCCCATCTATTTTCATGTTGCCTATAGCAACTTTCACCTGCAAGGCCACAGCACGGAACATATGCATGCAGTGCCTAAGATAATCGTTGTTTTGTTCTTTACCTTGCATCTGCTGACCCATGATTTCAGGGGTTTGTGAAATACGGATCGTTAAGGTTCAATCTCAGAGTGTTTGATTCAGTAAGTGTGGATGGGGATGGGGACCAAAATTTATGTTTCTCATCATTTCTGAGATGGTGCTGCTGTTGCTGGTCTGAGGACCACACTTGGAGAGCCACTACTTAATAATAATGGCAGGTTACCCCCAAAGTAATCATTTGATCCTTATAATTTGATTATGGTCTTTAAATCCCTTTTTCTGTCTTAGTAAGGGGTGGAAATTAGCTCCCCTCTTCTTCAAATAAAATTTTATTTATTTTTACAGAGGATACCTGGGCTGAGAAGGTGTAGAGCTGGATAGAAAATCAGCCTCTAGCCTGCTGGCTTGGCAACCTTGGGTAAGCGACTGAGTCTCCTCTATATTTGGGAAAAACCAAACTGTTTTCTCCATATATTCTCAGCAAAGAATACACTTCTGATCACTGAAACAGTGGGATTTTTTTTCCCCTCACATCAACCAATTGTTCAACATCACCTGGGTATCTTAGAATTCAGTCCACTTCGGAGACTAATTGGAGTTAGCATGGACTCCACAGGTTAAGGGCTCGGTCCCACAACATTGTCCTTCCCTTTCATTTCCATACCACAAATATTAGGTTTCTAGGTTCCCAGTTCTCCATTACTGTCTGACTTAGCTACAATTCAAAGGTTTCCACGATCCCTTTCTTGCACTGGAGAATTTGCTTCCGTCATTCATAGAGCTTGGACAACACTAACATGTACCAGTTGTTATACAAGATGTTACGGGCCAGGTGTCTGGGATGGGGTGCAGAATTTCTGGTTGCACCACCCTCCAGGCTCAATAACCTGGATGCACACTTTAGAGCTGATTATGGAGACTTTGTCACAAAGCCATGATTGACCATTATTTCAGTCTCTAGGCCTTCTTCCCTTCCTGGAGGATGAGGATGGGTGAGGCTGAGCATTCCAAGCTTCTCATGATGGCTTTGTATTTCTGGTGAGTACGCTCCATCTAAGAGCCCACCAGAGTCGCCTGAGTAGAATGAAAAATGCTCCTATCACCCATGGGTTTCAAGGACTTTAGTAGCTCAGAGCGGGGAACCAGGTCTGACGCAGTAATTGAACACAAGTTTCTTCCAGCCCTCCTCCCATTGCTCAGGAAATCAATCACAAAGATTTGAGGAGCAACCAGGAACCAGAGTAAGAGATAAAATATATATTTCCCATTATAAATCACAACATCACAGAAGCTAGTAACAAGAGTTTATATAGATCACAAGATTGAAGCAAACAGGAAACTAGTTAATACAGTGGCATCCTCAGAAATATGCCTGACATACATCAAGTATTGTGATCATGCCAGCTGTTATTATGAAATATCTACCAGGGTAAGGTTGCATTTTCCAACCTTGGCTCAACAGTGGATGTACCCAGCTTAGCTTTGACTCACATTGATTCTGATGCAATTGGTTTGGGGTGTGGACTGTGTTTTTTGTGGGGGAACTTCAAAAATTTTAAGGGAGATTAACTCGCAGCACTGTCACTAGACACAGAATGACTGTAATGTTATATGTATAGTACTATGTTTCTAGTGGGCACGTTTAAAGGGTGCAGGTGATTTTAATAGGGTAATCATGGGTGTTATTGTTGATAAGTAATATACTGATATCTGTTATTTGACTCAGTGTTATGGTTTGAATCTTCTGTGTTTTCCCAAAGATCTGTGTCAGCTGATGGTGCTATGGGGAAGAGGTGGAACCTTTAAGAGGCAGGGCCTTGTGGGAAAACAGTCACGTCACAGGGAGGGGCGTCCTTGAAGGGGATGTTGGGATCTCAGCCTCTTCCAGTCTGTTTTTGCTCCCTGGCTGCCATGAGGTGAACAGCACCGCTCTACCAACCGTGTTCCACTCGCCCTGATGCTCTGCAACCATGAACCTCTGAAACTCAACCCAAATAAGCCTGTCCTCCTTTTAAAATTTTTTTTGTGTTTTTTTATTAGTACAGTTTTGCAGTACAGAACATTTATACTCCTTGTGTGGAGTTGGTACAAGGACATAGCACATCTTCATCTCATCCCCTTCCCCTCACCACCCTCCATCTCTCGATCCCTTTCCCTTTGAGAAAGCTCTGTCTCCTTGTAATAGGGAGATGTCTTTAACTCTTTCTAGAAGGGGAATAGCTAAGTTCAATATCTCAGTTATTTTGTCACAGTGACAGACAGCTAACACACTCAATGTATTTCCTTCAAATATTATTTCAGCATTCATGTGGATCCTGTTTTTAACTCAAATGTGATGTATAAGTGGAAAATGAGCCAATAGTTTAAACTGATGGTCTCAGTAAGGCTGACATTTTGTAATTTTGTCTGGCTTGGAGAATAACTAGTCAGGTGCAGTTTTCAGAGGAATGTACTGTAAGGGGACGAATGTGACACCATAAGGCTCAGCGACAGCTGACACCAGAACGTGCCACCCACCGTGGACCCCAAGTCTGTTCACCACCTGCAGACCACTGTGGGGCTCTGTTCCATGCTTCATATGCTAACAGCAGCTTGGGTTTGGGTTTGATTGACTTCAGTTCTCCCTGGTGTCATCTTCCCCCTCAGTGTTAACCACTTCTTTGGGTTATAATCATTCCTGTAGTAGGTTTGTGGGTGGGTTAAAATTTTTAATAACTCAAGCCTCTGAATTTAAGATGTTAGCATCTCTGGCTTATATGATTTACATAATTATTTGTTCATGTGGCATTTGTATATCATTTCTCTGACTGTTTTATACAACATGAAACTTCCTGGCAGTTCCCCAAATGCTGGTGTCTCAGCCTGCCTATGCAGTCCCATACCAGTAGCAATAAAGCAAATAAATGGCTGAAGGGCTGCTTAGAATTCAAATAAGGTAAACCCCAGCCTTCCAAGCTGTTCACCGAACTGGACACCCCAGATTATTTGAGGAAAAACATCTCTCCTGTTTTATTAATCCTATTAAAACTATTCACAGAACAACACATTGTAAGGTTTTCTTAAGCTTGGAGGATCAAGACAGTTTACTCTTTGCTGAGCTTTTGGCCTTTGCTGTGCATAAGAGTCATTTCATAGTGACTTTTAAGGTGGGCTTGTGCACTTTTATCCAGCCCCCCGAAGTCCACAAGCAAATTCAGTACAACGTATTAACTTTGTCTTTAGTCAGTGGCAGTTCTTTTTGCTATGCATACAGAAACAGAGATGAGCAAGAATCATTGCCTTTGAAGAGTTCGAAGTTTAATGGGACCCATGTAGTAGAAACGTGAAGAGGTTATAGCAGAAGTAGAGTTTGATGCTTCCAGACCACTTGGAGGGAGCAGTTCATTTGGTTGAGGTTGGAACAACGCTTTATGAATTAGGCCTCAATGGAAGACAAATGGGGAGCCGGCACTGCAGGATAAGGGGACCACATGAACCGCGCTATGTGTGTGAACACACAGGCTGTGGTCAGAAAGTGGCAGCGTTTTGTTGGAAGTGTTGCTCACCGTGGAGATGGGAAGTGGGGCAAGATGTGGCCGGAGAAGTGGAACAGTCAAGTTTACGATGCCCTTTGGTTGTGTAAGGAACTTAGCCTTGGGGATTAACCCAGGCACAAACACATGAATGAATAAAGAAAATGTGGTCTATGTACGCAGTGGAATATCATTCAGACATGGAAAAGAAGGAAATTCTGTCATTTTTAGGAATGTGGGCAGAATTGGAGGGCATGTTAAGAGAAGCAGTGCACAGAAACACAAAAACCACATGTTCTCACCTGTACGTGGAAGCTAAAAAGACAAAGAAGTAAAAGAGGCAAATAAACATATGAAATAAACATATCACTAGTCATTTGAGAGATGCAGATTCCACCTCACGCCAGAAAGAATGGCTGCTATGAAGAAATCAACCAATAACAAATGCTGGCGGGGCTGTGGGGAGAAAGGAATCCTTCTCCATTGTTAGTAGGAGTGCAGACTGGCGCAACCACTGTGGAAATGAGAGAGATTCCTCAAAAAATTAGGATTAGAGGTCCCATTTGACCCAGCTATTCTCCTGCTGAGTATCTTTCCAAAACAATACCACAGCAATATATGTATACCTATGTTTATAGTGGTACAGTTTGTAATAGCTAAAATTTGAAACAGCCAAATTGCCCATCAGTTGGAGAGTGGATAAAGATTTTTTAAAATAAAATGGAGTACTACTCAGACATAAAGAATGAAAAACTAGAGATATTTATAGCTAAGTGGATGCACATTGAGGCCATACACTTAAGTGAAATTAACAAATCACACATACATAAATACTGAATAGTTTCTTTGGTGTGAAAAACTAAAAGTGCAAAAAAGGATCAAAGTGTGTAATTGATATTGTATAATAGGAAGAAAAGGTCTAAAAGAGTAGAGGAAGTGGGAGGGGTAGGAGAAAGGTAAAAAGAAAAGAAAAATATGTGAACAGGAAAGACATGGAAATAATGTCTTTGTAAACAGGGAAGGGTGGAAAATGAAAAAAATGGAAACAAAATCTTTGTAAATAGGGAAGGGTGAAGTGGGTGAAGGGTTGGCTGGGGAATGAGGAAAAATAAGAACCGAGACCTGTCATGTAAAGATACAAGATCCCAATGATGAATGCAGCTGTACTGTATACCTAAAAGGTACCAATAAATTTAAGAAAGATAAAAAAGTTGATCTCAGTGACACAGGGAATAAAGTAGTGGTTACCAGAAGCAGGGAAGAGTGTGGCAGAATGGAGATGGGGAGAGGCTGGTTAATGGGTATAAGTGTGCTGTAGGATAAGGAGAAATAACCGTTGGACACCCGTGGCTGGCAACAATTATCTGAGTATTTCAAAACAGCTGACAGAGAATTTTGAATGTTCCCAACACAAAGAAATGACAGTGTCTGAGGTGAGAGGTAAGCCATGTACCCCGCTCTGATCATTACACACTGTACGCGTGTTCTCGTGAGCCACACTGTACCTCACAAATACACATAGCTTCTATGTGACAATTACAATAAAATAAATGGGTTTTTAAGAGTTTAGACTCTACAGAAGAGAGAGCTCTGGCTATCTTTTGGGAAAGGGTTGATATCATGGGAGCTGTGCTCGAGGAGACTACACTGGGGCAGTGTGAGTGGCTTGTGGTGCTCTCGAGGGTCCCTATTTCCACATTTCAGCTTAGGGACACTTATTATGGGAAGCAATTGAAAAGATAGGCAAAAAGCTTTGGACAGCCCATGAAACAGCCTTTCCTGGGTGTTCAGTAGTTTATTATCAGTTCCAGGGACTGACAGTGTGTTTTTATATTACATTATATACAACCAGGAAGGTTTGCAGACCACTAGAGGTATTATATACACATATAAACTCACACATGCACACACACATGGCTGAAAAACCATGTAAAAGGCTTCAAATAACCTAAAAGTAAGCCGGAAGGTGATTCTTTTTCAATTTCCTTTGTCGGTCACCTTGCAACAGGTGGAGCCCACCTCTCAGGCCAACGTGACATTTTGCTTGTTTTCCTTCCATGCACGTACTGGGCACAGCAGCTTGGAACATCTGCTTTGGGAATCTCTCAACATTCTGCGGGTAAGTGAGTCTGAGCTTGTCCGTCCAAAGATGGAGGATAAAGCCAGGGCTCCTGGCCTTGGACACAAGCTGCCAGTATGACAGGTGACTTACCTCCTTTCTTCCGTCCACAGAAGGAAAACTTAGGCAGGTCCACCTCACAGATGGGGTAGGAATAATTCAAAACAGAAGCGCCTTTACTGATGAGAGATATGTCAAGATACAGCTCTTTGATGTCCTCCCCTAAAAGGAGAGAGAAGAACAACTTTATTATTGCATTTGACCATGTAGCAAAGGCATTCAGGTCTCCTACCGGCCTGAGTGAAAGGGCCTTTTCTTTCTATCCCTCTGCTCTGTGTAGCGAACAGTGTTCTTTTCTTGGTGAAACGGCCTTTGGCCCATGCTACAGGGCATTAGGATGACAGCAAGTTTTAAGAACTTACATTAGCTATTTAGGAGCAAAAAACTGCAAAGGCCCAATCATGCTGCTAGTAGTCGGTAGTAAATTTGATTGTGGCTGAGATAACTAAACAGAGGTTCTCTCCTATGCAGATATCAATACTTAGTCTCAAAATACTTTCATTACTTTTTGCTGAACGTACTTGTTTCAGGAGCTTTTATCATCCAAATGAGTGTAAAGAGTCCTTTTGCTACAAAACCATAGCATACGTGTGAGATGATGGAAAATGAAGACAGGAGTAGAGTTAATTCCAGAGGGTGGAGGTGGGGTCTTAGTACTTAAGTTAACATGGATCAGCTGAGTGTGTGGTGTAGGAAGAGCTTGTGCCATGTTTTATTTCTTGGAAATAATTTCTGCTTACTCAGAATGATGCCCAGTCTAATCCTGAGGTTTGGCTTCAGTTGTTTGGAGCACTGGTCAACTGAAAAGCCAAAATCCTGTAATGGATCTGCCAAGAGGAAAACAACAGATTAGCTGTGAGTGCCTTGTAGACTCTGAAAATTCATACTCAAAATTTGTAGTTATATAAATTTATTTTATACCAGTCATGAAAATTTATTCAAAAACATATCACTCAATACTTCTTCCGTTTTTCATTGGGGGTACAGGGGATTGATCCTAGGGCTTTCCCACTGAGCTACTTCTCCAGCCCTTTTTAACTTTTTACTTTTGAGACAAGGGTCTCACTAGGTCTCTAAGTCCTAGCCCCTTAGTAAGCTTGCATTTTTGGTTTTCCTGCCTCAGCCTTACAGAGTGCTGGAATTACAGGTGCCCACCAGCATGTCCTGCTTTAAAGAAAACTTTTAGTGATGTTTTTACCAGCTCCTCCCAGTCTCTCCCAAATCAACGTCACATTCCTTTTAAACATCTTGTCACTGTCCATTGGTCAATGTCATGTTCATTTTGACAACAGTGTCTCAATCCATCCAATGAGCACCGAGTCTTGGTGGCTGTATTATATCCTTGTCCTTGCTAACACTTTTGTCATTCGATTGAATTCTTTCAACTCTTGAACTTTGGGTTTTAACCTTGCTCATTAATTGCACAGGCACTTCACAAAGTGTTGATTATTATAATTAGAGCAGAGGGAGACATATGAAGATTTTCAGAGTTGGGACCTACTAGTGTAGTTCTGTTTCATCCTATTGCATCCCATACCACTCCATCCCAATCAATAGAATAAATTCTTCCGAATATTTCACTATTTTCAGGGTATTGTTTTAGCTCTGCTGGGCCCTAGAAAGATGATACACTTTATGTAGAACTTCTGCTCACTCAAATGCTCCAGTGGCTCATCTGTGCCTCCCAGGAAAGTCTAGAAGTGTTTCTCTGTCTCCCTTTCACACCCTACATCACAAATTCACCCTCCACTCCACCAGAGCCCAGAAAATTCTACTATGCTTGATTTGCCTGTGTTCTTTCTCCCATTTCAAGTGGTCTGAGGTCTTGTGGCTGTTGTTAAATGCTCAGTTCCGTCTTTTGTGAAGTTCTCTCTGAAAAGAAGAACTCTTTTGCTTCTCTGAATTCTTAAAACAGTTATGTCTGAAATACTTTCTTAAGTGCCCAAATATATATTGCTTTGTATTTTCTTACGTGACTTATCCCATGACATTTAGACTACACATGAAACTTCTTAAAGGCAGTAGCCGAGTTTCTGCTTTTTCTTTTGGTTTGTTCTGTTTTCCACTTTCTTTTTCTTTGTGTTTGCTACTGGGCCTAAAAGAAAAGAGTTAATTTTTTTCCATTCTGTTTTTTTTTCTCCAGCTGATACATAGTTGTATGTATTCATGGTAGATAGGATGATAGTTCAACACATGTGTATAATGTGCAATGATCAGCTCAGGGTAAACAGCATATCTTTCACCTCAAATGTTTATTGCTGTATTTTTTAACTGAACTTATTTAAAAATCCTCTCTCTAGCTATTTTGAAATTTACCATCATCATTGTTAAGTATAACCACCCTACTGTGCTACAGAACACTGGAACTTAATCTTTCTCAGTTAATGGATACTTTTTTTTTTTGCCTCCCTTCTCCTTTTCAGCCTCTAGCAACCACTAATACACTGTCTACTTTTATGAGGTCAGCTTTCTTAGCTTTCATGCATGGGTGAGAACATGCAGTATTTGTTGTTTTGTGCTTGGTTTATTTCACTTACATGATGTCCTCCCCGTATATTCATGTTGCTGAAAATAACACAATTTCACCATTTTTTTGTAACAATCAGAGCACAAGTTTCTTTGTACAGAGTGATTTTATTTGTTTTGGATACATATATTCATATGCTTTGATTACATAGTGAACCTCCTTTTAGTTTTTTCAGGAAGCTCCATACTGTTATCATTATGGTGATGCTAATCTTCATCCTCAGCAACTGTCTTCTCCTTTGAGAAGAGTTGAGTGAAGATCTTTCCTGTACTAGTACTGATGTGCGCTTTGTAAGATTATTTTTTTTAGTCCCCCAGACTCCCTGGCACCCAGCACAGTCAGATACACTGTATGCACTCTGTATGTGTACATAACGAGTGAATGCATGAGCCATCTATTCAACTGTCAGTTTCTAAGCTCCAAATCCAGCATTCTGTACTCTGCTTTGTGAACCTAGGCTCTTTGCAGTCATGTTTCTTCTTTCCCATCTGCCAGTTAGGGTGCCAGGAAGAGATGGAAGCTGAGGCCAGAGCAAACTTGCTGTTTGTATATTTGGTGAGAATGTCGCTGGTGATGGCCGTCACTCTGGTGATGGCAGTTGCTCCCAATGTCTTGGTCTTTCTTTTTGTACTTTCCCAGAATCAGTTGGGCTCCGTTTTGTGGGTCACTGAAATGTTATCCCTTTCTCTGCAGTCTGTCTCAGCTCCACAAGATACTTTTTCCAAAGATTCAGCTTCTAATAATCCCAATCTCTGCTCTCTTTGCTTTCCAAGCCCTTGGGGTGGTAGATGCTTCCTTGGTGTCTTTTTTCTCCCCTCTCTTTTGGTTTTCCAACTGTTTAATTAATTCCCTATATTAAATTCTTTCTGTTAAAATAACTGATGTGGTCTTTGTTTTCTAGGCAGGATCCAGACTGGTAGAATAAAGAACACTCAAAGGCGTGATTTTCCTTATTTTTACTGATGGCGAAATGTGACCTAGAAAGGTTGTGTTAACTTCCCAGTTCTATGAAGTGTGGGAGTAAATATCCAGACCCAGAGTTAAAAGCAAGTGAGCAAGCAAACACGTACATTACTGCTTACTCTAGGCAGAGTCTCAAGTGTGCATATTAATTATTGGATTTGGAAGATTTCTTAGAATAATCTCTGTGCAGGATCATGGAACCAGGTAGTTCCATTTCATAATTGATTTCAGTTTCAGCTTAGCTATGAGGTCCCATTTGCCAACAGTAGTTTTGCAGACAGTTTTATCAATTTTATCCCAGTGTTGACCACGAGACACACCATTGTCTATGGTATTTGCCATGGAAATGACCACGGGGTAATCCCAGCCTTGCAAATATAACAAGGAGTGCACCTTTGTTTGATCAAAACCCTTTTGGTTGGGTCATTAATTTTGCTGGGGGAAATTCCTTTTTTCTTGTGTTCATTTGACTCTTTCCAGAACAGCTTTTTGAAGTCCTATGGCTTCTTCCAACCCAGAAAACAGGAGCTGGGGGTGGTGGTTTGGAGACAACTGCTCCTAGAACATAACCGACAGTTTTGAAAAGACAGGGGCCAGCTAATGAATATTTAGGAAGACGAAAACTCAAAATTGTGGATTAATTTAAGTTGCCATCTGAGGCAAAAAAAAGTTGCATACATCTTTCCTAGTAATTATCAATTATAGAATTCCACACACTGTAAAATGTGTGTGTGTGTGTGTGTGTGTGTGTGTGTGTGTGTGTGTGTGTATTTTTTTTTCTCTACTTTTAGCACCGGGGATTGAATCCAGGGCCTTTGCAATGAGCTATATCTCCAGTCCTCTTTTATTCTAAAATGAATTTAAATTTTGAGTTGGGTCTCCCTAAGTCGCTAAATTGCCCCATCTGGATTTGAACTTGCTATCCTCTTGCCTTAGCATCCCAGAGTACTGGGATTACAGGCATGTGGCACCATGCCTGGCTTTGTCAGTATTTCTGAAGAATGGATAGAAAGAATAAACCAAGGACAGGAAAAGGAAATGAAGCATTTCCTTTTGTGGCATCAGGAAAATACTTTTGTTGTGAAAATCATCTGAATAAGGAACCAAGCCACAAAGAAAGCAGTAGTTTGCTTATCTGAGGAAATGCATATAGAAACAAAGACAGATTGCTTAAAAAGTAGGGATTTGATGAGCTTTCCTAGGTAGCAGTTGTTTCAGATTTATATGCAAGAATCATGCCTTTGACTGTAAACATACAGACTTGGAAAGAGTGGCATCAGTTCCTCCCAGCTCCAAATCTCACCCTCATCAGCACAGATCCTTCCCTGTATTTATTTATATTTCCACTCAGACACTTCCTGTGCTCCATATTACATTATATGTGTTTGTATACCTTTGTCATTCATCTTCTAAAGCTGCAAAGCAGGCTTCCCAGCACCAGAGGTGCCCCATTTTCAGATTATACCAAGTTCCAAATCATTACAGTATTTGCAGAATTAGTAGTAATAGTTATTTGAAGTAAATTTATTCAGACCCTTAAAACAAGGTTTCTCAGTCTTGTCACTGCTGACATTTACTTTCAGATAATCTTTGCTCTGGGGCTGTGCTGTGCATAGCCTTGACAGTTGAGCAGCATCTGTGGTCTCCACCCTCTAGATACCAGTTGCACCCCCTTCCCTCCAATTCTGACAACCCAGAATGTGTCCACACTTTGCCAAAGTTCTCTTGGGGGTGGGGTGGGGTGGGGAGTCATCCCTGGTGGGGAACTGCAGCTAAAGACAACTATTTTCACAGTTACCAGGTTTTATCTCTGCTGCAAATTCACCAGGACAACATACCAAAATAAGACATTGTTTAAGTGATTCTCCTTGCATAGTGTAAGAACCAATCTGAGTGAAAGAGTTTCCCCTGAGTGAAAGAGTTTGAGAACTGAGTGAAAGAGTTTGCCCCAAGCACCTTTTAAGACACATACATCAGATCATCTGACTTTGGAGCTTCTAAAACAGTAGCATTGAAAGCCAAAGGAGAGTTGGCACCCCAGGTAATGATCTTCTTTAAATACTGTGGTTCATTGCTGAGCAGAACACCAGCTGAGGAAGGAAGTAAAAGTTTCACTGTGATATAGAAGATCTGTTCGTTTTGCACATTTCTTCCTTGGCCTCTATGTCACACCCCCTTTCTATCTGTTTGGTCAACATCTCTGGCTCCAGACTGAGGGAGGAGAGATGGCAGTGAGTGAACTCAGCACTCCCCAAACTGATCAGCAGCCCCCATCCCCAGGAAGGCTCTGGACTCTTTCAAAACAGCAGAGCCCCAGTTCTGCTAGAGATGAGGAAT